CCCCGGCCCCGGCCCCGGCCCCCAGCCGAGCACCACCGGCCCCTACGTCCGGATTTTCCCGGACATGTCCGGCTTTTGGGGATTTCCTCACAGACGGGGATTTGAGGCCCCAAAAGCCGGACATGTCCGGGAAAATCCGGACGTATGGTAACCCTATACGTGCAGAACTCATTCCGAGCCGTGTGTGAGCCGGGGTGGAGCCTGGCCCGTGATGGGCTGGGTTCTGGTTCCGAGCGGGAGGCTCACAGGTTTCCTGGGGTCTCCTGTTGGGTTTGGGAGTGTGTGTGAGTCATGCAGGGGACGTGACCCTCACACAGAGCAAGTGACGCTTTAACACAGAACTCTGCCTGCTCCAGCAGCAGGGTGGCAAGCATAGGGCCTGGCACCACCAGGCCCAGAAAGACCTTGCCTGCTCTGTGCTCACCCCCGGACCTCCTCTCCTTTCAGGACAGCAAAAAATCCAGTTGAAGAAAGTCAGGCCCCCTTCCAAGAGCTGGACCCCTCCAAGAAATCCACAGCAGGAGGAAGAGAGGTCCAGCCCAGAACCAGAGACCGGTGAGGCCGTGCGCTGAGGAGGGTGTGGAGACGATGGCAGGTGGAGAGCTCTCCCAATGCAAGGCCAGATCCTAAGGGGGCTGAGTGCCTGTGCAGGACCCTGCTCCCTTGGACTCTACAGAGTCTGAGGATCCTACTGTCCCTTGCCCAAGCTCTCCCCCAACCCCCATGTGACTCCTCCTTGCAGCCCATGGAGCAGCAGTGAGGCCCCTGGAACTGTGTGCTAGTGGTCCCACCCCTCCCGACTGTGCAGGGTTGCACGAGTGTTGGTTGGTTGGTTCTGTGACCGCCCTGTTCAGCCTCTTGCAGTCCAGGCCTGGACTGAAGGAGCGGATTAGGGAGGATAAGGCCATGGGCTTTGGGGAACAGGGGTAGCTGGGAAAGAGTGATGGAGCTCCCAGGGCCGCGAAGCCCCTGAGCGGAACAGGAGGTAGCTTTTAGTGCAGAGAGGGGGTTTCTCTTGTGCTGCTCACCGGCTCCATTGGTAAATGCCCACCTGCCCTGCAGCTCCAGCACCTCCCTCGCCACCTCCCGCACCAAAGCAGAAAGTGCAAGAGAAGAAAGCAAAGAAGAAGCCGTGCCCTGTGGTGGCTGCAGACCTGGCACCAAAGAGAGAGCCCAGCCGGGAGATCCGCAACATCATTAAGATGTACCAGAGCCGGCCAGCCCCGGAGCCACAGCCCATCGTGCCCGTCAGGTGAGAGGGCGGGGCAGGCAGGGAAGGGGAGGAATCATGTCCCATGCTCTCTGTGTGATTCCATTGGCACCATGCTGCCCTGTGTGTCAACTGGGCAGGTCTGTTTCCTCTTGCCCTCCAGGAGGCCGTCCAAGACCTTCCTGAAGAAGAGTGACCCCAAGAATGAAGCTCTGGCCAAGCTGGGGATGGTGAGCCCTCAGCCCCCAAAATCGGTGAGCACTTCCCATGTCAGCTTCAACATCTTCCAATCTACCATCTAGTGGTCAGAGCAGGGGCCTGGGAGCCAGGACTCCTGGGTTCCACTCCTGACTCTGCCACTGGCTGGCTGTGTAACCCAACCTCTCTAGCTATACCACTCGCTTGGTAGGATGGGTTATGGGTCCTAATGCTCATTGATAAAGCCCTTGGAGATCCTTGGATGGGAAGGCCCCGGAGTCGTGACTTCAAGTTGTATATCAGCATGTGTTCAGGGCTTGACCTAGGGACAGACCAACCTGGGAGAGTTGTCCACCCGGCGCTGGCTTGGCCCTGGGGATCCTGGCAAGGTGATGTCTCTTTTCCACTCTGCTGTGGGTGGCTCCACCGCTGAGCACTGGCCTACTGCACGTCTGACTTTAATTAACGCATGTCTGTGTGTAACCTGGCTGCCGGTTTATGGGGCTCCATATTGTTGTCCATGTGGTTCCTGACCCAGGGCCTGGCAAGCTGCCCCTACAGCTGCTGTCAGAGAGTATCCTATCCCTGAACCTATGGAGGCAGTGTGTGAGTATATCTAAAACGCTTTCTCTCTCTGCTTCCAGCCCTCCTCTCCGAACAAGAGCCCCAGAGGGGCTCCGCCCCCTCCGCCCACCAAGAAGGGCCAGACTGCCACATCCATCAGGGAAATGCAGCAGCCTCTCATGAACCTCTTCGGCCAGCAGCCAACCTCTCCTGTTGCTTCCCTCATCCCTCCGCCTCCCCCACTCCTGCCCCCACCCCTTCCGCCTGCTGACCAAGCCACGCAGCAATCTGAGCCGAAAGGTGAGCGGGGCCCCTTCCATTCCACACCCTTCCCCTTCAGTGGTGTGTGCGGAACAAGTTTGGTGGGTCTTAGCCGAGTTCCCAGTGGGCATGTGGCCACATGTGCTAATTGGTCTCCTGCTGTCAGCCGACAGGCCCAGGAGTGAACAGGCCGAACAGTCTCCGTCCCACAGAGCTGGCCCTTCCGCTCCGATTGAGGCATCCCAGTCGTGCGGTGTCAGGGAATCTCACGCTGCTGCTGTGGGTGAAACGGCCTCACCATCCGGTGCCGTGGACTGAGCCACTTTGGCCAGCACTCAGTTGGCTTGGCAATGCAATGGAATGCAATGGGTAGAAACGTCAGAGGGGCTGGGCGGATATTAAAACTGCAACTAAGAAAAGCCAAGGACCTTTGGGCTGAAGCTCTGCCAAAGTCCAGCCAAGTTGCAGTATGAGACTCGTTATCAAAGCTGCAATTAAAGTGGTGACGGACTTTGGAATGGTGAGGAATGTGAAGCACAGGGATCCTGCCTCTCAAAGCCATCCCGAGGGGCTGGGCTCCTTCTGCATCACAGCTCACCCCAAAGCACTCGGAGAAATCGACTGACGTGTCTGAGAGGCAGCATTGTTGAGTGGTTAGAGCATAGGCCTCGGAGACAGATCCGGGCTCTATTCCTGGCTCTGCCATTTAGGCCTGGGCTGCACTTAAAACTGTGGTCGACATAGCTACCAGTGCTCAGGGGTATGAAAAATCCACACTGCTGAGCACTATAGCCATGTTGACTGAGCCCCTGGTGTAGACACAGCTAGATGGAAGAATGTTTGCATCAGTCTAGCTGCAGTTGCCTGGGGAGGTGGGAAAAACCCCTTCCCATTGCTGCAGGCTCCATCTGGGCTATGGGGCCATAGTGCCATAGCTATGCCATTATAGTCCCCGTAGTGTAGACACAGTCTTGCTTGCTGTGTGGACTCTGTCAGTCTATAAAATGGAGCCGATCCTTACCTTGCAGAGGAGCTGGGATGTGCCCATTAAATTCTATGGGAGTTTTGCCTTGGATTACAACAGGAGCCATTCATTCATAAATAGTCATCAAGTGCTTTGCCGGCCTCAAGGGGGGAGAGTGCTAATGATGTGCAAAGCACTATTGTTACTGCAAATAAACACTCCATTTGTATTGCACCCTCTTCTTGCTTGGCAATTATCATGCAGCAGAAATTGCACTATTGTAGAATACTTCCTCTCCTGGCTCTCCCACCCATTCTAAAAATGCAGGAATGTCCAGGCAATCCAAGCAATTTGAAAATGCCTAAGTGAATATAATGGGAGTCTTAACCTTGGGATATCTTTAGTCTGTGGGCCGTCTCCAAACTCTGAGGTGTCAAAGTTGAGACCATTTAGATATAAACATTCATAACTTTAAAACTGCCCAGCTGATTGTCTTCAAACCTAGATTGTTTAGTCGATCTCCTGGAGAATTAAAAATCAAGCCAAGCGTGAAGACTCTACATGGCATACTGGTAACTCACTGTCTGTAAGATTGTATAAGAGTTTCTATTAGATCATTTGACAATCATTTTATAATGGCATAAAGTGAGGCCATATTCCGATGTGTAAGGATAAGAGGGCAGCCGTTCCATCTGGAACTCTCAAGTTCCTTATTTCTCCCCCTGGAATGGACTTTGCATATGTAACACCGTGTATAAACATTGCCAGGCATGCCTGATTAGTCATGCCATTATCCATTTTATGCATGCGGTCACATGTTTAGTGAGCACAGGCTGGTCACTGATTTCTGAAAATGTAGCCTTTTGAGATGATGCAGCACCACCTTCCTGTCCTGGTGAGTCTTTGGCTGGGGACACAGCATTCCCATGGTGCCCCAGAGCTCCCCTGACTGTCCTTTCCTCCATCTAGGCTCTGCTTGGACAATGGCGGAAGAAGATGCCGGCATCAAGACGCAGCTCTACAAGCTCACTGCCAGCGTCAGCTTCTCATATGCCACCACACCCTGGAAAATCTTCCTCCGCAAAGAGGTATGGTCCGTGCTCCCACTGCAAGGATGTGCGCCAGCTGTGGAAGGGAGGGGTGCAGTCACCCCCCACAATCTGCAGCCGTAGGGAAACCTTGCTTTGCCTTGTGCCCCATCAGTGCTGGAGACAGTACAAAGCCAGCTGCAAGGGGTATGCCGAGCATGACCCAGTGGGTAGGGAAGGCACTGAACTGGGAGTCAGGACCCAGATCCCTTGTTCCCAGCTTGCTGTGTGTCCCTGGGCAAATCACTGCCACTTTCTATGCCTCCGTTTCCCCATGTGTGGTTGCCCACCTTTGTAAAGTGTGAGCGATGGAGGAAAAGCACATATAAGCGACCTATTTCTGTAAGCTACATCTCTCTTCCTGGATCCCGGATGTCCCACCTGCCACGTAGGGGGTGTTCCACTTTGTAACACAGCGTCTCTGGGCAATAGACCCACACAAGAGGAGAGATAGGGCTCCTGCAGAGCTGCAGGCAGGGCATTGGGACAGTCCCAGGTCAGTATTGGAACCAACAGACACCTACTGCCTCCTCCCAGTCCTAGCCAGCCTGGTACCTAGGAGAGCCCACGTGGATTGACTGATCCTCCGGAGCCCTCTGATTTCCTTAATTATCACGAGCGTGTTTGGCAGCTGAGCACACGCTGACACAGCCAGGCTTCTCCCATTGCTCCACTGCTTTGGTGATGACTCTCTTCTCCTCTAGCTCTCTTCCCCCAGCGCTGCTGTCTTTGTCTCCAGTGTATGGTGGGAGGTTGACCCTTTGTCTGGTGGTAGGACAGCTGGATCACAAAACAGTTCCCACGGGAGAGCCTGTTGTTACAAGTCTAACCTAGGCGATGTTTTCATTGTGTTGGCTGCAGGTGTTTTACCCCAAAGAAAACTTCAGTCACCCGTATTGCTTGAACCTGCTGTGTGACCAGGTAAGTGTGTGTTTGTCCCATTCCATCCTCTCCGTTCACTAATCTCTCCAACATGCTGCCGCCTCATCTTCATCAATGACCCATTAGTCCCTCCCCTGTATCTGTCCAAGCCATGCACCTGCTCTCTCCTCCCTGAGTCTCTAATTGACATGCAGCTTCAGAGACTCCAGGGGCTGATGTGTTTGGAGGCATCTCCAATGGAATCCCATCTGCTTTGTTCCTTTGCAGATCATGCAAGACACTTACTCGGAGTCCTGCATCCGGATCTCCAAGGAGGAGAGGCGCAAGATGAAAGACTTATTGGGTAACTGGTGGCTCGATTCTTCACCATAGCGGGGATGCAGAACTCCTAGCAGGAGCTGTCAATGAGCGGGTTACACGGCAGAACTTGGCATGGGTGATGCTGCATGGAGCAGGAGTTGTACTGGCATTAAGCCTGCAGCGTTTGTATCTGCAAAGCACCCTGGGAACATTAACTAATCTTTTTGGCGGCTCTGTGACCCAGAGACATTTTAGTCCCATTGTAAACTGAGACACAGAGCAGTGACATAGAGTTGCCCTAGGCTTGCATCATGAGTTGGAGGCAGAGACTGATTAGAAGTTTGGTGCTCCTGCCCCCAGGCTGCATCCACTAACCCCGTTGCTTCAATGGGAGTTTCATTGGCTGGAGCGGGCTTTGAGGGGACGAGTCACACGGGTCTGTGCTGAACCGCACCGGAGTGTCCTTGTCCCAGTGCCTGCCAAGCCAGCAGAGGCGGCTTGGCTTTGGGGATTGTGCTGGTGGGAAGGGGGCTGCAATGACACGCCGTATGGGCTGGATATTACTTTGAAGAGGGCACGTTCAGACACAGGGGGCTTCCTTCGTCAGAAAGAGGCTCCAGCAGGCAGCAGGAAGTTAGCTGTGCAGGGAAGAGGCAGGAGAAGTTCTAACTGTGGGGAAGGCCCAGCTCCACTGGCCCAGACAAGGGTGTCCTGATATTCAGGGCTAGCCCCTCCCACCATGGCTGGGAATAGGGCTGATTGGAGAGCCGGGGACCAAGTGGTCCCATTGTGGTGGCTTTTGGGTAGAGATGGGCTCCAGCTGCAAAATTCACTTCTGGAGTCCAATTTCTGAAGGCCTCCAAGTTGGAAGGTGTTGGTAGGAGCCCCTCGCTACCTGAGCACAATCAGTATGTGAACTCCTAGCGGAGAGGCTGGGCCATCCCTACCTTCGGTGACGGAGCTTCTGCTTTCTGTTCCTGGCAGCAGAGTTCCAGGTTGGCACGGATGCCACCTCCATTGAGGACGGGATAAAGAAGAGGATTGTGGTGGCTGCTCGGGATAACTGGGCCAACTATTTCTCCCGGCTCTTCCCAGTTAAGGTAAGTCTGTCTCTCTCTTCTCCAAACCCCAGATCAGCATCTCCTCCCCCTCCCCCCGCCCAAGCTTTGGGATAGTGGGGGAATCAAATTTCAAACACAGGCCCAGCTCAACATGTGCCCCTGGCCCCTTCCTGTACATAACCCCCATTTCCAAACACCCTACACTGTGGGGTATTAAAAACCAAGATTCTGCAGCTCTGGCCCATTTTGCGTCCCTTCCCATCCATCTGTCATATGCTCTCCCTATCCGCTCTTTTCTCTTATCTGTGTCTTGCTTTCCCTCTCCTGTCTCTTCTTCTTGTCTATCTGTCTATCCCCCTCCGATTTTCATATCTCCCCATCTGTCTTGGCTCTATGCTTGGCACCTGCCATGCTCTCCTTGCCTACGAGTCAATTCCCCCAGCATGCCCCCGTCCATCCCTTGGCCTATTTAGCTCTCACAGACTCCTGTCCCTCGGTCTCTGCCTATCTGCTGTGCCCGTTGGTTGTCAGACTGGTGTAGAAATGTCACCAGAGTGCTGCATTCAGGGGCTGGCAGCACCTTGTCATCTTTACATATCGGAGAAAAGGTCTCCCCAGGTGTATCCTTTCAGACGGGGCCCATGCTAAGTTCTCTGCCAGGGGCCCGTGGTCAGGACCCACCTGTGGGTGGATTTTTCTTTCAGGGGGAAAGAGGAAGTGACGTCCAGCTCCTTGGGGTTTCTCACCGGGGATTCCGGCTGCTGAAGATGGCAAAAGCAGCCAGCTTCAGCCCTGAATACCTGAAAATCCTTTGCAGCTACAGGTGAGGGGCTGGGCCCAGAGGTGGGTTCCGGGGGAGCCAGTTGCAGGACTTACATTTGCAGGGGGTGGTTCTTGCAGGGCAGGAGGGCGGGTCTGTTCCCTCGCTGTTGGGCTGTCGGGCCGTTCCATGTTGTGATGGTGACGTGTAGAACGTGCTTTGCTGTGTCGGCGTGTGGAGCTCTGCCCCTTGAGCCGGAGACAGATGGGTGATGCCAGTGGAGGGTCTCTGTTCAGAAGGGGCGACAGCTTCCCTGCCTACACGCTGCCATTTGGAGAGTGTCGCTCAGCCCTTCTGGGGTAATTTTTGTGGGCTGGTCTCATCAATTGTTTAGTTTCCCCTCCCCCCCCGCCTTGTGTTTCGTTTGCAAGGTGAGAGTGCCATTGCCAGGTCTGTTCTCCCGGAGGCAGTTGCACAAGGGATTGTGATGCTAGTGAAACACTGAACAGCCCTTCCTGTCATTGGTCGCCCCAGTGATAGGAGTGTTGGGGGTGTCTGGTGCTGGTGGCTGGAGCGTGCTCGGCCCTTTTCAGTTTTGCAGAGGTGCTGTCGGTGGAGCTGAAGGGCAGCGGCAGCTTGGAGTTCTCCCTGAAGAACGAACAGCTGATCCTGCACTCGGCGAAGGCTCGGCAGGTCAAGGCCATGGTGGAGCTTTTCCTCCAGGAGCTGAAGCAGGTGAGGGAGCGGCTGAGACGCGGCGGTGAGCGCGTGTGGGCCTGGCAGGGCAACGTGCCGTACGAGGACTCGACAGTCACGGGAACCAGAGAGACAGGCAGCAGCCCTCTCACTGTCCCCTTCCCCCACAGGACTCCAGCTACGTCATTGCTCTGCGCAGCTACGTCACGGATGACAAGAGCCTCTTGAGCTTCAAAAAGGGCGACCTCATCCAGTTACTGCCCATGCAGGGGCTGGAGCCAGGTGAGAGCATGGATCCGAGCTGGGCAGGATGGGAATCGACCCACAGTGGCGGTGCCCATTGTCCCAGATGTTCCACCTGCCATGCAGGGGGCGTTCTGCTATGCAACACGGCGTTGCCGGGAAACAGACCCAGGCAAGAGGAGGGCTGTAACCCGGGCACTGGGACTGCCCCTGCCTAACATCAGAACCAGCAGACCCCCACTTCCTCCTCTCAGCCCCAGCCAATGGGGTATCAGGGAGATCCTCTAGTGTCCTTCCCAGCATCATCTGTCACCATCTGGAGGGAGCTAAGCGGGTGGGGGCATGCAACGGCCTGGCACAGCATGAGACGAGCGGTCTAGGAGTTAGAGCAGGGGAGGAGAGCTCCCCTCCGTGCCCTCCTGCCCAGCTCTGCCACTGACTCAGAGTGACTCCACGCAAGACACGTCCCTGCTCTGTGCCTGTTTCCCCGCCCGCATGTCAGGGATGTTACTCTGGGGGGGTCGTGAGGCTCTGTGCCACCTGTAAAGCCCTCAGAAGTGCTTGCCAGAAGCACAACCCCTCCTTGCTCTTTGCCTGATGCTGTCATGCTCCTTGGTAGCGACCTGTCCCTCTCTTCACCCACCTCTGGCAGGCTGGAAGTTTGGCTCCGTTGGCGGCCGCTCCGGCCTCTTCCCCTCCAGCATGGTGCAGCTGGCAGCAGCCCCCGATTACCTCAGCACCCACCTGGACAGACAGGAGAGGCTCCAGAAGAGCCTGAAAAGAGACCGGCTGGAGACAAGTGTTAGCAAGGAGGTGAGGCCTCCGGTGGGGTCGGGGGGACATGGCTGGGCTCTGGAGTGGCTGTCGGAGGAGGGTCTCCGGAAAGACAGAGGGAAGTATCTGGGGGGAGGGTCCTGCCACTTACTGTCACCCAGATGAAAGTAGGAGTGCACAGGTGAGAGGAAGAATGGTCTAGTGGTTAGGGCACCAGCCTAGGACTTGGCACACCCCAGTTCAGTTCCCTGCTCTGCCACAGACTGCCTGTGTGCCCTTGGTTGAATCACTTAATCTCCCTGTGCCTCAGGTTGCTCTCTGAATCATGGGGGTAACAGCACTATCCTGCCTCACAGGGGTGTTGAGGATAATCCATTAAAGGCTGTGAGGAGACCAGATGAGGACCTTAGCTAGATCCCTGGAGGGGAGAGGGGAAGACCCACTTGGGGAAGGGAGAGGGTTCTGCAGAGGAGAGACTGGTGGTGGAGAGGCCCTCTGAGCTAACATTGGGGGCGGGTCCGGTATCTGTCCCCTCAGAGCTCTGTCCCCAGCCTGGCATCGGAAATCACCAGCTCTGCCTTCTCCCCAGACGCCCATCACTACACCATGGTGGAGTTTGCCATGGCGCACTTCAGGGAGGCCCAGTCCACGTGAGTAGCCTGGGCCCCTCCTTCTCGTGGCCGTGTGTACATGTGTGTACACATGCAGGCAGCCCCTGCCTGCGCAGAGCGAGCCTCTGTGGGCATCTCTTGTGCCAAACAAATGTCCCCTCTCTCTAGGCTGGGGATGAGCGCGGAGAGGAGGAGCCCAGCTGCCCTGGTTGAGCACACCAAGGTGGGTGTCTTTGGGGGTGGAAGGAAGGAGGTGTGAGTCTCCAGACAGAACTTCAGCCCAGGGCCACCTCCCCCTGCCCCAGACGGGGCGGTGTGTTTATTTGGGAGGTGGGCGGTTTGGAGTCAAGGGCTGATGGGCTGGAGTCCCTGGGCCTGCAGGATGCATCGATCACGCTGGGATTTCCTGTGTTGCCTGCACTTCCCAGCGAGGCCAGCGTCTCCCCTGCACTGCTCCCACTCACCCCAGTGCTCTGGCTCTGCAGGTCCCGATCCAGGAGTCCCTGCTTCAGTACTCTGACAGCGAGATGAATGAGCTGGCGACAAAGAGCTTCATGAGTAAGTCGCAGCCCTGGGGCATAGAGGGGTGGGGCTGTGGGAGCCTGGAGAGGGGCTGATTTAGACAGTCCCAGTGGCCACACAAAGATGCCTGTTGCTCAGAGGAGGGAAGAATAACCTGGTGGGAAGGGACAGCAGAGGCCCTAGGACACTTCCACCTCTAACAACCATGTGCTCCGTAAAACTCATCTGCCTGGTGCTCGGTGTGCTCGTCCTGGAGACGAGATTGTGTTCTAGCGTCTGGATCCACACCCCTCCCCCTGGACACCCCAGGAACCACACACCAGGGCTTCATCAGCCCCACCTTCCACCCATCCTGTCCCAGTCTAATGCGGGCTCCTGCCTTGCAGCTTTGATGAGGTTCATGGGAGACCAGCCCACCCTCAAGAACCAGGCTGAGATCGATTACATCTATGAGATTCTTCAGGTTCGTGGTCCTCCTGACGGTAATGTGCTGGGGTGCTGAAGGGGATGGGAAGCCAGGAGCTGGGCTCTCCGGGAAATGGGTGTGCGTGGGCAGAGATCCGGGAACTCCCTCTTAGAGGGAGAGGTGGAATCTGAATCGGAGTTGGTGAGAAGGAGAACCCATGATTTCAACTCCTTGGGCATCTCTCCATAAAGATGATGTAGGAGCAGTCCCTTTCCTGCTGGGCCAGATGGCTGCCAGTCCCAGGAAGGCTCAGAGACCAGTGAATGGGAACCCCTGGGTGGATTTTGGTGAGGCCCCGAGGGTCCCCTGTGTGTGCTTGGGAGATGTCACAGGGGCTGGCTCGGAGGTCTGGCCCCTCTGATGCTGGTCTCCCATGTGCAGCTCTGCAAGGAGAAGGAGAACCTGCGCGATGAGGTTTACTGCCAGGTCATCAAGCAGATCACGCATAATCCCAAGCTGTGAGTACCGAGGGCTTGTCCGTGGCAAGAGATGGGCATGTGCCCAGAGGGGGCTACCTGGTTGGAGGGAGGGACTGGGAGAACACAGGGAGGGCAACCTCCTGGCTGCATGGTGTGATGCAAGGGGAGAGCCGGCCTTGCGGCCATAAAGAGTGAGGGTGGTGAGTGTGGGGAAACCCACACTGGCAGGAGGTGTGAGTGTGTATGTATGTGTACGTGCATGCTGGATCAGACCAATGGTCCATCTAGCCCAGTATCCTGTCTTCTGGCAGTGGCCAGTGCCAGGTGCTTCAGAGGGAATGAACTGAATAGGTAAACATCAAGTGATCCATCCCCTGTCGCCCATCCCCAGCTTCTGGCAAACAGAGGCTAGGGACACTTCAGAGCATGGTTTTGCATCCCTGCCTATCCTGGCTAATGATGGACCTATCCTCCATGAACTTATCTAGTTCTTTTTTGAACCCTGTTATAGTCTTGGCCTTCTCACCATCCACTGGTAAGGAGTTCCACAGGTTGACTGTGCGTTGTGTGAAGAAATACTTCCTTTTGTTTGTTTTAAACCCGCTGCCTATTAATTTTGTTTGGTGACCCCTAGTTATTGTGTTGTGAGGATTAAATACAGTAACACTTCCTTATTTACTTTCTCTACACCCGTCATGATTTTATAGACCTCAATCATATCCTCTCTTAGTAATCTCTTTTCCAAGCTGAAAAGTCCCAGTTTTATTAATCTCTCCTCATATGGAAGCTGTTCCGTACCCCCTAGTCATTTTCTGTTGCCTTTTCTGAATCTTTTCCAATTCCAATATATCTTTTTTTGAGATGGGGCGACCACATCTGCACGCAGTATTCCAGATGTGGGCGTACCATGGATTTATATAGAGGCAATATATTTTCTGCCTAATATCTATCCCTTTCTTAATAATTCCCAACATTCTGTTTGCTTTTTGGACTTCCGCTGCACATTGAGTGGATGTTTTCAGAGAACTATCCACAATGACTCCAAGCTCTTTCTTGAGTGGTAACAGCTAATTTAGACCCATCATTGTATATGTATAGTTGGGATTCTGCTTTCCAGTGTGCATAACTCTGCATTTATCAACATTGAATATCATCTGCCATTTTGTTGCCCAGTCACCTTAATGTGATTAAGGAGCAGGGGCAGAGTCACTTTTCAACTATTTCATCAGTGAGTGCAATGCAGAAACATTGGACCTGAGATTCTCCTCTCTTATGCTGGTGTAAACCAGGAGTAAATCCCCTGCAGTCCGTGAAGTTACCCTGGTGTAAACTTGGTGGGCCCCACTACAGAGCAGTAATTGCCTGGCATATGCATTACCATAGGCCGTGCAGTTTATCAGGGCACCTGGTGGATGCCGGTAAGCATGCCCAGCTCCCTGCGTGTGCACCCCATCTGCTCATCGCCCCAGGGTTATGGCTCTGAAGAAGTTAAACAGTAACTATGGGTTGGGATTAGTCACTCATGGAACAATGCTCTTGTCTGTCTCAGTTGCTGAGGTGTATTTGCACTGACAGACGTTTTGCCCTGGTGACTTGATGAGTCCCAATTGCCTCTATATTGAGCTCCCTGATAAGCTGCTGATGGCTCTGAGATGCCCTTGCATTCCTGTGGCTGCTGCAGCGATTCCAGTTATTGGTGCACGTTCTTGTGCCTTATCTCTGCTCTTCCTGGGGACAGATAGCCTTTGGTTCTCCTCCAGAGACCACTGATCCAAGGCTGAATGGCACCTATCACTGCCTCCATCCGTCCCTGTCCTCCTGCAGCGCTGTGTGATAGGTCAGTCGCCAGGACTGGGAGCTCCCGGGGGCAGAGCCTGTCTCTTGGTTCCAAGGTTTTGTCCATGCAGGCTTTGTACTGGGAAAACTGCCAGGTGTGGGGAGAATTTTGACTGAAATAGGAGGGTTATACTGGTACAAGCCCTACTGCAGATGCAGGTATAAAGGGGGTTAGACCACAGCAGTCTATTCCTGATCAGGAAGGGGGTTACTTCTCCTTTACAGCGCTATAACTGCATTCACTCTAGTGTAGCTGTACCAGTATAACTACACTGCTATCCCTGAAGTAGTACAACGTATGTGGGTGTGTAGACAAGGCCTGTGTGTGCACGTACAGCGCCCAGCACAACAGGGTGCCGATACCTGAGAGGGGCCACGGTGTGACTGTGGTGCAGGTCCCTGACATGGATCCAGTTCACCTAGCAGCCGCTGAGCTTCCTTTTCCTGGCTGAAATGATCGAAAAAACAGTCTCATGCTCACTGTTTTCTGTTCTGTTCGGGTTCTTGTACCTTCCTCGGCACCGGGGTAGCAGAGCCCCGTCCAGCCACGCGTTAAGCCATGTGACTGACCTCCATCCCGGGTGGTTTGCTGCTCTCTGTCCCTGGGGGAGAATTGTGTGTGCAGTGGAGGGTTTTGTTTTCACTGTGGGTTTTTCTCCCGCCATCAATCCCTTCCCCTCCTCCTTCTCCAGCCAGGCATCCATGTTGTTAGACATCCCTGTGCTATCTGAGCAGTGGAGCGGTTTTCAACTGAAGTCCCTTCCACACCATTTTCTTTCTCTCTCCACTTCCCCCCCCCGCCAAATCCTGAGATTCACTTAAAACTCGTGAGATTGTAAAGAATAATCCCTGGCAGGTTCCCTCTATCAGCCTCCCAGTGCCGGAGCCTTTAGGGGTCAGTTTTCAAGCTTTCTCTCTGCAGCCAGGCGGGCTAGACACGTCACTGTATTGTAAATGAAAACTGAGCTCCTCCCCGGATCTCATGACTCCAGGAGCTGGAGCTTTAAGAAACCCCCGTGAGTTGGTGACGTTGGTTTTAGTTCTTTTCAACCCGCCCTCTCCACCCGAGGGTGTCCCTCCCCCCTCCGTGTGAGAGTTTCTCCCCCTGCCTCCCTCACTACCATACCTGGCGAGCCAGTGTCCTCTGTTTCTCTGGGCCCTGCAGGGAAAGCTGTATCCATGGCTGGCGGCTCCTGAGCCTGCTCACTGGCTTCTTCCTTCCCTCCAACACCTTGATGCCATACGCCACCAAATTTCTGCAGCAAGCCAGCGCCGATCCAGCCAGCACCCACCAAGGTACCGGCTGCTTCCCAGCCCCTGCTCTTTGCACCAGCTGTGGGGTGGGGTGGGTTGGTCTGGTTAGACCTCCCTCTCCCCAAGAAAGCAGCTGTCCTGGGAGCGTTGGGGAGTTGCTGGAGCACTTGGGTTACTGGAGGGCAGTGTTTGAAAAGTATCCCTTAGCACAAAGCAGGCAACCGCTGGGAGCTCTGTATGGATGGGGGGGTGGGTCTGGACAGATCACTCATTGCCAGGGGCCCAATCCAGTTCCCTTTGGAGTCAGTGTGGCCTGTGATCTGGTTATAACTGTACCCGTGGGGCTGAGGGCCGGTCAGGCTGCTCTGTCACTTGAGCCATCAACCGGCTGGGTGGAGGGATCTGAGGAGCTTGGGGTGACAGTCTCATAAGAACACAGGGAACAGAGGAGGCTGCCAGTCCTCCTCCCTCCCCTGCAACCTCCTGTGCCCCGTTTGTCCCCTGCCAACCCCAGCAGGTTGCAGAGAGGCCTGTGCTGCCCTGGGTGGATTTCTGTTGGGAAGGGCTTAGGTGTCTCTTCCACTAGAGCAGAGGCCTTGATCAGGGTCTGGTGCCTGCAGGCTGACCCGGCCCAGGGGGATTAGCTGCTCAGCCCTTCCTCTCCCTCGGCTTGTAGCATCTCTCCCTTTCCCACAGATCTAGCCAGGACCTGCTATGGCAACCTGCGGAAGATGATCATGTACGGCGGCCGCCGGCACCTGCCCTTCCGCGTGGAGATGGAAGCACTCCTGGTACCTGGCAGGGGGAGGAGCGGGGTGTCTGGGGCATGCAGGGTGGGGGTGGCATGGGGAGGAGGGAGCTGTGGAGGTGGGTTGGGTGCCATGGGACATGAGTGGAGGGTGCTGGGTGTGGGAGGGGAGTGTTTGGGGTGGAGATGGTGCAGCGCAGGGCGGAGTGAGCACTGTGGGGGTTGTATGAGTTCATTGCCACCTTTCTATCTGACCCTGTGCTTTCCCTGGGCAGAAGGGGCGTGGCTCCCGCCGGATAGTGATCGTCCTGCCCGGGGCCCTGGAATACACCACCAAAATCAGGACATTCACTGTGAGTTCCCTGCCCCCGGCACCCACGTTTGGTCCAGGCTCTAGGGCACTGGGGAGATGGGCAGTGTTACACAGTCACATGCGTGAGCCCCTGCCTAGTGCTCCCGGGAAGAGCCAAGCTAGGAGATAATTCCAGCCCTGGGACTTGGTTGGCTCCTCGTGTCGGCTGGCACCGGCTCCCTCCTGGGATGTGACAGTACCAGCACAACTCACAAGTGTTTGCCCCATGCCAACGGCGCCCCTGGGGCCCTGCGTCCCCCCCATGCCGGGAGTGCTGGGTGGCCCCCTTGGTCCGTGCGTCTGCCCCACGCCGGGAGTGCTGGGTGGCCCCCTTGGTCCGTGCGTCTGCCCCATGCCGGGAGTGCTGGACGGGTCCTGGGACTGAATAGCCGCCCTCTGCCGGGAGGGCCCCGCAGCCATGTGTCTGCGCAATGTCTCATTAGTAGAGAACTCTCATTACCTTCCCCTCCAGAACTGCGGGGACAGGGGAACCCCATCCTCATTGGGCTGGGCTTGTAAGTTACCTGGCTGCTCCCAGAGCCCTGCCCGGGGCAAAGGTGCTTCAAGCTTTCTGGGCTCAGTAGAATTGAGTCGGAATCATCCCCTGTGAATCAGTGTCAGGGCTTTTCGAGGGTTGATTCACTGAACAAGCAAACGTTCCCAGCTGCTGCCCCTTTGAGGTATGGACAGAGAAACCACCAGCCCCAGAGGCTGGCTGGCATATCTGTGCCCAGACCCTGTCTTTGGGTTCTGCTCTGTCGCTCTCCACTCCCCGTCACGCCCACCCTGTAGCAGGAAGTGAGGCCAGAGGCATCTGCTCGCCCTTTGGAAGGGGTGTTTGCCTGGTCCCGAGGGTAAAACCCCCCCATCTCCCTCCCTGGCTGCAGGTGGCTGCGGAAGTGGTGCGGGAGATCTGTGAGCAGATGGGGATCAACGAGCAGGAGGAGATCCAGGAGTTCGCTCTCTTCGCCAGCAAGAACGGCGGCAAGTAAAAACAGTGTTTGCGTTGTCCTGGGGTAGATCCCTGCAGAGTTGCCTGATGTGGGGCTTTGGCTCAGCTGGGAACCTCTCTGACCCCTCTCCCTCCCACAGGGCTCCACACCCGCAGGTTGCTGAAATCAGCTGGGATAGGGCAGAGTGAGCCAGGCCAGCCCACCCTCGAGGCAGCTCTGAGGTGCATTGTGAGGAGGGGGCATGGCCTGGCTTCTTCCCCCTCCCCTTTGTGGGTGCTTCTCCCTGGGGCTGCTAGCAGGGAGCAGTCCCTGAGCATCGGCTAGCACAGGGCTGGAACTGTGCCTGGCCCGTCAGCTCCTCCTCCCCACGTGCTGGTGTTGGGCCCTGTGGTGATGCTGCTGCACACCAGGCTGCAGCGTCAGTGACGCTGCGATGGGAACAAGCAGCGGCTGAACGTCCCTCCTAGCCTGTTAGCATTTGCTGCAGGCGGCTGCTTTCTAAACGCGGTTTCTCTAGCACAAAGTATCATGGCTGCTGCTTCCCCTGCTGCCCTTCCCCCACGAGAGCTGGGGAAGTGCCCTTAAGTGATGGCGCCTTCCTGCTTGGGGTTCCCTGGTTTATGACACCTACCCCGAAGGGCTGGGGGACTCTTGTCCGGTAGTCTGTGTTGCTTGCTCCTAAAGCTGGTTCTCCCCTTGAATGACTGGTGGCTAGCGCTATTTGACACTGGGGGACTCTGTGGCGGTGAAGAGGCCCCCTGGTGCCCTCCCGGAGTTGCTCTGAGGAGGTGGTGACAGGGCTGTGCGTGTACAGGGAAGATGGTGAGGCCGGTGCGCCAGAACGAATACATCCATGACTACCTGCTGGAGGACAGCTCAGTGATCCTGGATTTACGCCGGCTCTCCTGGAAGACACCCCTGCACTTCGAGAATGAGATTTATATCAACATTCACTACAGCCAGGTAACTTGCAGAGTCAGCACCATCCGCACGAGCCCCCTGAGGTCCACGCAGCCACGCCCACTAGCCACGGAGCAGAGTCCAGGGGCACTGTGCATACTGCTAAGGGACTTCTCCAAAGAGCCAACCACACACAGCTTGTGGGTCTTGAGAACTCCCCGAAGGGTCTCACATAGGTACTATCCATGCAGCCCAGTATCCCACTTCCAGGAGTGGCCAATAGCTAACGCTTGATCCAAGGATGGCAGCCCCCCGGGCAGTAAAGCAGTGGGGGAGGCAGCCAGCTTCTGGACTGAAGCATGAGATCTGAGTTGGTTTTTGTTCCAGTTTGTGTGGCTGCTAATGTTCTTAACGCTCCCATCACTGTCTGATCCTCCTTGGTGCCTGTCCCCTCTCTCACATCTCCCCCTGGGGAAGAGCCCAGTACTCACCCCAGCCCTGTGCGTAGGGCAGCCACCCTTACAGGCTGCCAGGATGCTGTTTGCAGCTGTATTGGCTAAATCCAGCGTTTAGGTATCAGTGAGCAGACACCTCCTGCTTCCTCCTCCTTCCCTTCCCCTGCTTGGAGACAGCTGCTCCAGAGATCCCCCGTCCCATTTGGTTGGCTCACGTGCAGCGCCGTGGGGTCTGTGAAGCAGTGTGCAAAGACGAGGCTAAAGGGTGCAGTGCAGGTAGCTAGGTGTGAAAGACAGGGAGCCCAAAGGTCGATCATGAGATCTGTATGGTACCCAGAACATGTCCCACTAGTGAGTTGCTGGTGCCTTTTGGCTGAGTAACGAAGAGGGGCCCTCACCCTGCTGCCCTGGGCCCAGGCTGGAGCTTGTGGCCTGGCATCCAGTTAGAGCTGGGGTGTGAGGACAAGCAGAGCTCTTTGTATTGGGTTCCTGCTGTCCCTGGCTATTTGCATCTGCCAGAATGGGGCTGGGAGCTAGGCGTCTGCTCTAGTGCTCTCTCAATAGAACTCCCTGCAGTGCAGAAGGGGGAGGCCAGCCAGGCCAGTTCTTAGCAGCTGGCAAGCTTCCCCTGTGCTGTGGTTGCTCTCAGGTGCAGCGGGATTACCTGAAAGGGATGCTGTTGCTGAACTACAACAGTGAACTGGAGAAGCAGGTGGGCACCATGGCCCTTTTCCAGCACTGGGCCAGAGGACTGGGCTCCCCACCATCCAAGTAAGTCTGTCTCTGTGGGGTTTCCAGGGGTGGCCAACCTGGACCAGAGCAGTGTTCTAGGTAGTCCAGAGTCCTGTCTTGATGCTTCAAAGCGCTGCCTCATGCTTCAAAGCAAGATGCAAGAAACCCTACAGTGGATAATTATGGAATAACCTGGCTGTAGGGGAAGTTCCTTCCTGGCCCCAGGCACTTGGTGGCTGGCTCACGCTTGGAAGCACGAGGGTTCACATCCCTCTTACGCTCTTAACCGACCTGTGAATATTCTCAGTAGCCACGTAACATCTTTTAAAAAAAAATTCTACTAAGCTCTTATCATCATTGGTACTTTGTGGCAAAGTCCTGCAAGGTTACGACTTGAGTTCGACGGGTTCCCTCTGATCCGGTTTAAACTTGTTGCCTTTCAATTTTATTGAATGTTCCCTTGTTCTCTCTCATTAGGGCAAAATTTTCACTAACATTAGGCACCATATTTAGGCATCTAATAAATATGGATGAAGGTTGCCTAAAGGAGGCTGCACGGAGACAAAGATTCCTTCCACCAGCTGGGAGCTTGATTTGCAGGCTCCCTTACAGCGTCCTTGGACCCTGTGTAGAATGGGGTGGTGTTGGCAGAGGTGGAAGCATCTTTGAAATTCCCATGAACCAGCGCTGGTGGAGATGAACCATCCTGGCTCTGGGGTACTAGGTGGTCAGGAATGTCTGCTTGAGGGGGAAGCTGTAAAGGCATTCCAGTAAGCCAGGATGGGGGTGAGGTGTAAAGTGCTATTTGGTTTAGGGGGACCGGTGGCCCCAGAGCCCCCACTGGCTAGCTATACAAGTACGCAACACCATGTAGTTCTATTGCAATGCTGCAACCTTCATTCAAATAGTGCTAGTTGTCTTTGGGACGTACATTATTTCACTGGGCACTGGCTTGCCCTTCGCTTGTGTGTACGTTTCTTTCCTGCTGAAGTTGGATGTCCCTTGTTTCGTCTGTGTCTAACTCAGACATAACTTAGTCCACCTGCCCCTATAAACTGATCTAATGTCCTCAACTAGTCCTGTGTGGTTCTTCTCTACTAACCCCCGCATGGAAGTGAGTTAAGGCATGTCTAAGTGAATACTTACTGCCCAGCACGTCGGGGAGCAAATCTAACTGGCCGCGCACTAATGGTGTATGTGGAGCCTGCTGATGCGCACTACCTGTTCCCTAGTGCGTGCTGACAGGTAGTGGGCGGCCAGCTGGAGCGCTGTAGATCTGCACCCGGCTTGCCGTGCAGTAACTGTTCGTGCAGGCATGTCCTTATGTTCTCTGCTTGTCTGGGTAGTCAGGAGTTGATGGACTATACCCCAAAGCCCGTGCTCCAGCTCATCAACCCCCAGGCTCTGCAAAGCCAAGTCAACCGGCTGCTGGAAACCATGAAGCCACTCGGCCAGCAGAAGGCAAAAATCCAGTTTGTAGGTGAGGCGACTGTGGACAGGGGCCCCTGGGAGAGGGAAGGGAAGGGAAGGGAAGAGCCCCTAGCACTGCTTGCTGCCTGGGCTCAGTGGATGCCACCTTTGCGCTGGGTTCCTGTTTGCCACCAGGTGCTATTTACAAAGTTGGCAATGATCCAACAGAGCCTTGACGAGCCCAGGACCAGGGAACCTGAGCTCAGCCTGGGGCCAGGGCATTTGTCATAGAGGGTCCCCACCTCTAGCCTTGGCTCTCTTTGGAGGCCTGCCAGGGTTCCATGCAAAACCCTTAAGAGCTTTTCATGGGGTTCTGGTTTTGTGCGTATTTACTGTTCTTCAAAGGCCAGGGCATGAATAAAGCCCGCGTGTGGCTGCGGTGAGGGGATGGGGAGTTGCCATTATCGCTGTTTGATTTGCAAACAAGCGCTTGGCGCTGTCTCACGTAGCGTTCTGCAGCTTTTGGACATAGGCATTAGTACAGTCTCCCTTCCCGCAGAGCATGTGATCCAGCTGCCTCTCTTCGGCTACAACGTGTACCCCGTGGAGCGGTGCAGCGAGCCCAGGATTCCTCTACCCTGCATCCTGGGAGCGAATAGGGACCAGATCGTCGTTGTGGCCAGCAGGTCCCAGGTATGCTGCCCAGAGCGCCTGGGTCAGTATCTCGCTACCTCGGCCCACTCGTGCATTGGCTTTGTGCGAACTTTCTCTTTCTCGCACAAGTCGGACTCCATGGCAGGGGACAAAACCAGTGGACTTTGTCCACTCGCTGCCACCCCCCTACACAGTGAGCGTGGAGGTAAGCTGGCACCAGGACCCCCACCCAGTACTCTGGCTCGGTGGTTTTTCCATGACCCGTCCTATAGCCCTGCACTGGCTTAGAAGAGGTTCAAGGGCTGAGCTCTGCTTCAGGTGAAAGCCTGCACTAGGGGTGGGGTGTTGAGGGCATTGGGCTCCTGATCCTCCGTGTCCTGCACTGGAGCAGCCCCTCTCATGGCGGGTTCTCTCCCTGGGCACAGGAGCTCTGCTGCTGCATCCCGCTGAAGGAGGTGCAGAGGATGCGAACCCTGCGGCCTTTGGACGACTCCGGGGTGCCGGGTCTGGAAGTGAACTATGGCTCTGTGGAAAATCCTCAGACCATGTGGTTTGAACTGCAACAGGTAAAGAGAGCCCTGAGCACTGCCTGCTACTGGCCATGTTAATGAACATAGTTATTGGGACGATATTTAATCCTTTCTGAGTTGGTTTCTCCAGCCACTGGTGCCCACACTTTGACCAACTGAGACCGAGGCTGACAGCACTAGAGCCTTCCCCTAGCTCGGAGATAGGGGCTCTGCGCACTACAGTTCCCAGCATCCACTGCTCCCTCTTCAGCCAAACAGCATTGTTGGTATTGCGCTGGGAACTGTACTCAACCAAGGGCATCCCTCTGTAGTAGAGGGTGGCAAGCTAGAGCCACTCCATGGGCTATCCCGGGTCATGTCCCATCCAAACTGGCCTGTTTCCTTTAAAGCTGAAAAATCTTTCCTCATCCTTTACCCTGGTTGTGATCCTTCAAGGTTCCCAGAACACAGCAGCATCTTCCCTTGCACTACCTGCAGCGGCTGCATCGCTCTCGCATGTGATAGGAGAGCTCGCAGGCTCTTTGCTGGGCAAGCCCAGCATTCAGGCTCCTGCAGTAGGTGCAGCGTGAGACTTTGGGCCCTGGTTGGGGGAGGAAATGGCAGCTGCTAAAGCCTTGAGCAGGAAAACTGCCTCGAAATTAGTGATGGCTTTTCCTTGCGTAAGGAGCTGGCGCTTTGCTTAATGGATTGTATTAAATAAAAAGGAGAAGTTAGTCTAGGGCCAGCCGCAGGCTCTGGGGCTGCTAAACCTCGATGGGCTCGTCTACCCAGGGATGGTAGGGTATGCCTAGGCCAGAGCTGGAAGGTATTTCCAGCTCAGGGAGCTGGTCCCACTCTAGCGTGCTACAGCCAGACGTGTAGCCGAGGCGGTGCCAGGGGCTAACCGCCCTGAGTACATATCTACGGTTTCAGGCAGGAATAAACTCGGGGCAGCCAGCGGCGGAGTCACTGCAGCTACTCTTCTATTTTTAGCACCTAACGTGCTCAGAGCTAGCGAGGGTTCGTCTGCCGGAGCTGGCACTTACCCCCTACAGCGCCAGCAGAGACGTAGCCTTAGTGCAGAGTAAGCCAGGGCATGCACCGTCTCCGTGTGTGGATACTCGTACTCCACCGTATGAGCACCTGTGTGTGCTTTAGCTAAGGACACTGAAGTGTATCCACACGGGAGATAGTGCAGAGTCGCTGGAGTGCCCCAGCTACTCGGGGCTCCCCCCAGACAAGCCTGAAGTTTCACTTTGGAAGGCTAGAATTACGACCCCCCCCCATTCAGCTACCAGCCTTGTAGTGAGTCAATGAATGCCCCTGTTCTTGCAGCAGCACAGAACAGTCCATTCCCCCCCCCCCCCCCCCACGTTATAGTGGAATAAACAAATCCCCTAAGATTTATAGCCAGCGACCAGGGTCTAAGCATTTCCCTTGGCACCTGGCTTACATGCTGGTTCTGAAGTATTGGGCAAGATCTGTATAAGAAAGAGCACAGGTAGCAAGCAGCTGCTTTGCCAAGAGAAGGCCTGGGGTTTAAGCCCAGCCCTGCTGGTTTAGCAGAGGTAGGTGACTGGATGTAGCCTCTGTGGGTGTCAAATTTCTACCTTAGGAGAGGTGAGGAAGTGAAGGGGACAGGACCAGGAGGGGCTGCGGTGTTCAGGGTAAACAGGGAATTACTTCTACTGCGCTGTAATCTTTACAGGCCAAGGAACTGTACCACACGATCACAGTCATCCTGGAGGAGGGAGAATCTCAGCCCTAACGACCCAGGCTGGAAGACGGCTAAGCAGAACAGGGCTATCCTCAGCTTGGACAGCTTATCAAGCACTTCTCACACTGGCCTGTGCCCCATTCACCATCCTGCTCTCGAGCTGCCTTGTTCTACCAGCACACTCCCCTCTCCTGCTTTCCAAGGCTGCCACTCCCTTGCCAGCCTGGCGTCCAAGCTGTTTGGTCACCTTACTTCTGCACCACCACGTGCCAGAACCTGGACCTGGGTCGTAGCGCTGCTCCTCATCCCTTCCTGCCCCAGGCTTGGTTCGTACGTCACTCCCATTCAGCGTCCTTTGGAGCTGCATGGTCTCCCCAGGCAGAGCGGAGCACGCAGTGGCCCAAGGCCCTGGTCTTTCACAAGCTGCTACAAGCAAGTGGGGAGGAGCAGCCCAGGGACTTCCAGGTACAGGACTGCAGTCCTTTTTTGCACTAACAACAAACTCACACATGGCAGCAGCAGGGGAGTCTGGTACTTGCCAGAGACTTTGCATCACCCAGAAAAAGATACGACTCCATCCACTGGCATTAAATTCCTGAGAGCGGCCTCTTATCTTACTGGTGGCAGCTCTTGGACATTATCACAGAGCAGGTCAGTGAGTGTCAATATGCAATTACCACGTCTGCCAAGGCAGAGTTTGAGCTGCAATGGTAAGACTGTTGACGGCTACTCTGATTTCTTACTGGCTGTCTGCATAGTGTATGTTGATTTTTCTTTCTAATCTGAAGAACTCAGTCTGACCATACAGCTGTATATTTAAATGATGCCTACTTGCCCAGCGAACTAAGATACAAATTGCCTTCCCCAACAGAGGGGAAAAAATCAGAATGTAAAAAATAAATCCTTAATTTATTTTATTACATTACTATAGATCTCCAGCTGGGGGAGAGGTGTTTATGCTTCTGTGGAAAAAAAAAAATCAATGAAATATTTAATAACCAATAAATTATTAAAGTCTCGGTTCCTTTCAGTTTTTGGAGCTATGAAAATAAAACCGTTGGTTTCCATGTGCACTAGGCAAGGAGGCTGTTCTGTCAGTGGGGGCTCATGGGCACGTTTTGAGGCATTTGAAAAGCATGAGCAGGTTGGGAATGAACATGGCCCCTTGGGCCAGCTATTGAAAGCCAGCCCCAATGCTCAGCGCGTGAACATTAGTTACCCCCTAGGAATTCAAAGGCAGCAGTTCCTGTAGCCAAGTGTCCATATTGTAACTAACGCCAATGACTACACGGGTACGGAGGCTAAAAGGCCTTCCTTGCTGCTGCCTCCTAGTTTGAGCCATGAACGAATCTTGCACTCTAGCTGCCCATGCTCCAGCTGTCCCATGGCTGAGTTTTCCAGGGGCACGACAACCTCTTGCAGGGTGGGAAGGAAGAAAGGGTTAGGAAAGAGAGCCTCATTTGGAGACTGCACATTCAGTCCCCAGCAGCCCATGTGCTAAGAGGGTTGGCCGCTTTGTCAGAGACTTAAATGGCTGACTGATTCCTTATGTCTGGCACTAGAAGCCAGGAGTTCTGTTGGCCAGTCCTCTCCCCAAGCAAAGTACAGCATTAACAAAACCATTCTCAGGGCAATTCAACCTTCACCTTTGAAATGGCCCCTACTGCTTTAGATCTCTGTTGCCTGTATATTCTCTCCAGGCCCCCCCCCCCACACCACACACAC